AGAAAGAAAGAAAGAAAGAAAGAAAGAAAGAAAGAAAGAAAGAAAGAAAGAAAGAAAGAAAGAAAGAAAGAAAGAAAGAAAGGTTAATATCGGTTATGTATGTATGCCTGTATGTAATCAATATTAAACAAATCAGCTTGATACTGAGACCTCAAGGCGACCACTAGGTAAGTAATACACAGTAAACCTTACTAAAGGCTGATTACCTTTGCTTTGCGCACAGCTATACACCAAAAATCATCACCTTCAGCTCTTGAAAACGTAATAAAGTGAAATACTTTTATTATTTTGGGGCCAACGGCTATTTTTATATAGAGAGTAATTGGAATCACTTCTCATCAAAAAGAAGTTGTCACCGAATCATATATATATATATATTCTTCATATATATATATATATATATATGGAGTATTGTGAAGTGAAGAAAAAATATGTAAAATTATCAGGATATTTCTCTCTTTGCCACTTTTCGTTTCCCTTAGGCATTGGTTAAATTTCAATTTCCTAAAATAAAAAATAATAAAAATACTCCTTTTGAAGATGTCTATTTTAGGACGGGAAAACTTGTCAATTTTTTTTTAGCTTAGTAGTTATATATATTCTACGCGTTGTTTTACCTTAAATTTATTGCACACATCCTAAAAAAACTGCTATTTATAATCAACTACCATGATTATGCTACCAACTGAAGTTTACCTTTATCGAATGCATCGAAGCCTGTAGCACCTTTCAGCTCGTAATCATTGCAATACGTATTATTTGTCAAGTTTCTAGTTTTATCTATAATTGATTATGAAAAGACAATTCACTGATTTGCCTAGAAAAACAATTTAAACAGGAATAGAATTAGAATACGAGAAAGAAAAAGATTTCGAAAGTGCTCTAAATAGGATATTGTGATCTTTTCCCTAAAACTTAGAAAAAAATAAATCAATTTCGATTGAAATAATAACTTGCTTTCTCATTAATTAAGCAAATGAGAAGTTCATTTTTCAATTAAAGTTTACTGAATATAAATTAATGACATCAAAGTCTAGCCAGATCTCCAACAACCTCTCATTTTCTTTCAACAGCAGAGCAAGATAGTCGAGCCTTCAAGTTCAAGACTTTGAATAACTAGTCAAAATGTCGACAAAAAGTCAATCCAAAGAAAACGAAAAACCAGAAACTAAACAATCTTCCGCATTGTCTGTCATCAAAGAGTTCTGTGACTACACTTCCATTCATGGCCTTGGTCGAGCTGCTGGTGCAAAATACCTCGTTCACAGATTAATTTGGCTGTTGCTATTCTTGGGTGCATTAACGACGTCAGCCTATCACTTCAGAGAACTCTATACGAAGTATAAAAGTCACCCCATCGGTACCAGTATTACTATTCAGAGTGCATCGGTAAGAGGTTTTGTAAATCGATTTCTTAATCCTTCAAAACTTTCCAAAAACGTAACCCTGAAATAGCCTCTACCCCTCTGGGCTGATCAGTGTCAGGTCACGGCTAACTCACAGATTGAACCCTGAAAAAACCTCAAGGCTGATAAGTCAGGGCATGGCTAACTTAACAGATCAAACCCTGCAACAACTGATCTAAGTCAGGGTACGGCTAACTCACAGATTGGACCCTGAAGAAACCTCAAGGCTGATAAGTCAGGCCACGGCTAACCCTTAGATCAAACCCTGCAACAGCTGATCCAGGGTACGGCTTAGTAATTCACAAATCGAACTGAAACAATTTGGGCTGATCTAAGCCGGAGTACGCACGGCTGACTCACTGCTCGAATTGGAATTTAGCGCACTAAGTTTTGCGGAGGAAAGACAACCGCATGAGAAAAGAGCCATTGAAGAGTCCAGGAATCGAACCCGAAATTGAGAGGCTTGCTTTGCAATACCACTATACCAAAAGTTTAATAAGTTGATTTTTTGTTCTTGTTCTGTATTTCAAAGTTGTAGCTAGTATTATTACTGTACTAATTATATAGCATCACTCTATAATCCCATATATATATCTTCAAATTCTCTTCCTGTCCAAATTAAAGATTAATTTGGATCATTTCCATTCGCATTTTCCTAGTATAGTAAAGTTTGGGATGAAATAATTAATCTGCAATAGGACTACATGTCTGTCCAATTTGGAAATAATTGAATTCAAAAATTTTCTCTGACTACCAAATTGGACTCGGCCTGTCGGTCTCTTCCAATTTTGTCAGTCCTCGGAATTTTTTTCATCCAATTATTTCCAAATTGGACAGCATGTAGTCCTATTACCTATACACATAGTTTCCTTATTCGCCGTCGTTATGTTCCTGGTGTTGCTGATGGCATTGTATAGTAACTGTTAATTTTTGTTGTTGTTGTTGTTGTTGCTCTTGCTACAGCTGCTGAGTTGTTAATTGCTGCCGTAGCTTTCGAAAACATCCCTGTTATTGTCACTTGGTTGCCGTCTCCGTTGTTTTAATTCTGCGCTTCTATTTGGTTTGTCTCTTGCTGTTTCCCCGTGAGGTCGTTGCTGCTGTCGTTCTCTTAGTGATAACAAAAAAAATAAAAAATATTATATCTTATCACGCTAGTTGTTATGAATATATTGAGCTCAGTTCACGTTTTTTGTCGACTTAATTACATTTATAACCTTTTGCAAAAAGAAAAAAGAAAAAGAAGAAGAAAAAAAATTAACGAAAACAACAAATATTCTTTCACCAATCCTGTAATATATCTTGCTTGTCAACTAAGATGCTTCACTTTATCGTAAACTTTAATTCCTAATTCAATAATCTTCCACTTTGAGCAGGAAATGAATAAAGGCTTTCATCTTCTTAACAATTAACTCAATATCTAGATTTTTGTTCTAAAGAGGAAACCGCTGCCTGTTTTTATTAAAAAACAAGTATTCCACAAAATCGATAAGTAAATCTAAAACGTCGCCAATCAGTTAGTACTTTGCCATTATATTAATACAAAAACACGTCTATGTTAAATATTTTTGGCAAATTTATGTACATGATATTGGAATTTATTTTTAAGGAATATAAAACACGCGCGCACGTCCTTGTACTGTGATACTCTGGGAGCTGTAGAGAAGCAACTTAGAACATGAGGCGTATTAACATATTTTTCTATAAAAAATTCTAGACTCTTCCATTTCCAAGCGTCACGATTTGCAACTTGAATCCTCTTCGCAAGACTTTACTGGACACTTTGCCGTCCAAAGATTACGTCACGCTTAAAAAAATCCTTGACAAAGGTGATCAATTATATTTATCCCATTAACCCATATTGTGAATTTATAAATATTTAGTTTAATTAGTTAATTTTAGAAAATTCAAAAGTTGTTGTCAATGACCAGCGCGGAATACAATTAGCCGTCGAATCAAAGTATGTTCTCATGGACGTCAATCAAAGTGACTTGGCAAGTGCCTCTGAAAATATTGTGTTTTCCAATAAGTGTCACACGTTTCAACTCTCTTCTAAGTTTCTGATGTATTGTATTGCTGTCTGTGGTCTTTCAGTTTTGTGACATAAAACGAGCGGATCTACTACTGACGTCCAACCGGCAACAAAACCCAACTTTGTCACCTGGCAAATACACTAGTCTCACATTCAATGCATACTGCTGTTTTTGAAGACTACAGACTCATTTGCACAGGCTTAGCCTAGTTTATAAGTCAGCTATTCACAGATACCATTAAAAGTCCGTGCGATTTCAAAACATTGGTATCCATAACAGTTCACTTTCACAAATGGTTTGCTCTTAAACTTTAATTAATTTTAAAAATAATAATGTCTAATAATAAATTAAGTGATTAATTTTGTAAATATAAATTAATTTTTTACCGAACGTCATTCTTTAACTTAAAAGGTGAAGAAGTGTTGAGCAGTATCGGCTTACAAAATGCACAAATCCTTCCCGGTCGGAATACGACTCTTGCTGCTGGTATTCTGGGTACTGTCAATCAATTATTGACAACAGTAGGTCCTGCCCTGCCAAATGCAGGAAACATATTATCAACAGTGCAATCATCTCTGCCAGATTCAACCCCTGTTCCTGGTATTCTGGGTGTTGTCAATCAATTATTGACAACAGTATTGCCAAATGTAGGAAACCTACCATCACTACAAACATCTCTGCCTAAAGCACAATCGACATCAACCCCTAAACTGGGAAATAAAATGAAGTCAATTGTGAATAACATCGTTGGTGCTGAAGTAAACGAGCTTAATATCGATTCAAGCAACGACGAAGATGACGTTTTCGAGAATATTGAGCGCCTGACTAAAGAGATCAAACTGGAAGAGACTTTGTCAGCAATCCTTGCTTCTATTGATGAGAACAAGCTAGCAGCCATTGGACATCAGTTTAATGATACCGTGGTAAAGTGTTCGTACAGAGGAATAGACTGCAAGTATGTTGTTATTATTCATATTTTTTTATATCGAAAATTATATTCAGCCTTTCTTTAAGTTTCTTCTCACATTTGTCTAGAAGAATTGCTTTGTGCTACCTTTAAGAAAGCCATGTTTTGGCATATAACTGGTATTACGCATTTTGAGTTATAAAATGCCGCTGTGTTCCTTGATACTCACTTTCTTTACTCAGTCAGGGTTTGCCTTTCTAAATCAACATATTAAATTTCTTATGACGTTTTTATGTCTTTTATTATTTAATATTCTTAAGAATGCTTTTAAGCTACTAAGGGACCTCTTTTACTGGAAATTATTGGGGTCGATGCACGGCTAGAAGTTAAATTTTAAAAAAATGACACTAAATAATAGTCCCCTTTAGGTATTGACACACGGTGCAGCATTGCACTCAACAGGAATGCTGCAGCGTGTCTACCCCAAACTTGTTGTACGCAACGTTGCATGCAACAAATGTGAAGTTGAATCACGCTCTACTCTTGCAACATTGCGCGCAACAAATTTGATCATATGAACATGGCTGCAACATTACCTGCAACATTTTGAAATTTCCAGCCAATCAGCTTGCACCAAATTTGCTGACCAAATATCTTAGCATTATTTTTTTTGTATTATAAATTAGCGTTATATTTTATGTTTTATTAGCATAGTACTAGTTCCATATTTTAGCATTGTACTTAAGTTATATTTATTATTGTATGGATTTTATCAGGGCTCTTATTGATAACAGTTATTTTATGTAACTGAAAGGGCTACCCTGTATAAGTAAAGGTTCACTCATTCATTCATAACATAGCAGGCTGACACAAGCAATGTTGTGTGATTTTGTTGCAATGTATGTCACCTCGATTCAAATTTGTTGCTTGCAATGATGCGGGCAATGTTGCACCGTGTGTCCACACTTTTACAGTTTCCTGCGCCATTTTGGAAGGTAAGCGTGCCCATGTATGTGTACGTGAGTGAGAAAGGCGGTGACCTTGATATAATATAGACCTTACACTCAAACTGAAGCACCTTAAGCGTAAACACGTGGATGTCATTAATGACTTTAGTTTTGAATTCTTGATTTCATTATTCGATTCGAACATTCATTATTGAAAACGAATCTTTCAAGCCTCGCACATACAAAAGCCAAGCATATACGCAGCTGAAATTCAAGAGCAACCTTTTTGTGCAAGAAATATGTAATATTGATGACTTACCTTCTGTTTCCGCTATAAACAAGAGCCAAGTTAATCGAATTTTCAAACTATTATATTTTTTTGAATATTGAAGATTCTCTTTGAATAATGAATGTTCAAATCGAATAATGAAATCAAGAATCAAAAACAAACAAACAAAAAACAAAAAACAAACAAACAAAAACAAAAAAAAAACAAACAAACAAAAAAACAAACAAAAAAAACAGAAAAAAAAAAAAGCAAAAAAACAAAAAAGAAAAACATTAATGACCTCTACGTTTTCACGCTTGAGGTGCAGTTTGACTGTAAGCTTTCTTAAGACTTTACAGGCATATACACCTATTTCAGAAATCGTTGTCGCACCAAAAGCCACAAGCAACAAGCCAAGACCGCAGAGAATGCCGATACTTTTAAGTGGAATTAGTTTATTCATGGTGCATTTTCATTTATATTGACTTCACAAATTGGTCCAAGCAAGGCTGCTTGAGATAATAATTGGTGTAGCGCTATAGCCATGAATAAATGTGATCATAATTAAAAGTACCGACGACTTGACATCATATCTTGGCTTGTTGGTTGTTGCTCTTGGTTGCGACAACGATTTTTCAAATAGGTATATATGCACGGTTACCTTTCAAGATGGCGCAGGGAACTATGGATGATTTGATTCCATCCACCCAGAAAGTGAAGGTTTTTTTTGGATTTTTCCTTAAGGCTTGTATTCCAAGATAAACGTGTTTATCGTGTTACCTTGTTTCTAGGCAGTCGTCCATTGCTCGTTGGAACACCTTTTGGCACTACAAGTACGGCAACTGCTTTGTATTTAATCCTGGTGGGAAGATGAAGACACTGAAGTCCAACATGGTGGGACCTGTTCAGGGTAAACGATGCTTTCTACTAATTATCGTAGTAAATTTAATATTGAAAAGAGTGATTTCCAGACGTTCCGGTCTGGATAGGGGAAACTTTACACAAGGTCTAGAATATACAGACCAAGGCTGCAAGGCCAGGGGTTTTGTTTTCAAGACCGAAGGCACAGTTTTTTTGGACCGACTTTAGGACAGTTTACAGGTCGTTTTGTGATTTGTTTTGTCATTTAACAAACCGTTTTCCCAACCGCCCACTTGAATGACGTAAGCCTTAAGTCAGGATAGCGAACCGCGGGCAGAGATAGAAAATTCCCGCCGGATTGCGCAGCCAATCAGAGCGCACGATTTTCAGTATACTGGACCAGGAAAGAATAAATTTGCTGTTGTAGTTGTTGTTGGTGTTGTTGTTGTTGCTGTTGTTGTTGCTGTTGTTGTTCTTGCTACTGTTGTTGTTGTTGTTGTTGCTGTTGTTGTTCTTGCTACTGTTGTTGTTGTTGTTGTTGTTGTTGTTGTTCTTGCTAATGCTGTTGTTGTTGTACTCTCTTGCTGGTTTAGTTGTAACTTAATGCCAAGACTTGCAGTCGAAACTATAATCATGGTTGAGGTACACTATATATTTCTCATTTTATCTTACAAGGTCTATCTCTCCGGCTTTTTGTCGATCAGGAGAACTACATTGACCAACTTTCACCAGCCGCCGGCTTCAAGATTCTTGTCAATCACCAAGGACAAATGCCTTTTCCGTACGAAGACGGCATAACCGTACCTCCTGGCATCTCTGCTTCATTTGGCATCAACAAGGTATGTTATCGCAAACTACAGATCACGTATTCATGTTTTTGCCAATCCTAGTAATGATATGAAATAAAGCTTGTAATAATAAAAACTCAAGAAAACAGAGAGAAGAGAAGAGAAGAGAAGAGAAGAGAAGAGTAGAGAAGAGAAGAAAAGAAAAGAAAAGAAAAAAGGAAAAAAAAAAAAAAGAAAAAAAAAAAAAAAAGAAAAGAAAAGAAAAGAAAAAAACCAAAAACGATGTAGGGCATTTCGATTCGATGTCACTGCATGGTTTTTCAATGGGAGAAATTATCTTCATCTCGAATAAGAAATAATTCAAGATTTTTTTCCCGGTCTTATTTTTACCTTTCATTTTCNAAACAAAACAAAACAAAACAAAACAAAACAAAATGAAATAAAATGAAATAAAATAAACGAAAAGAAGAGAAAAGAAAAAATACGTGCACAAGAATCTTTACATATTATCCGCCATCTTTTTTGTTGTTGTTTTGCCTTCTGGAACCCCATAATACTTTGCGACCCAAAATGGCCGCCGGTTGTCCATCAACCCACTCCCTCCCACTCCGCCTCGTAATTCAGTCTCTTTTCTAAGTATATATTGTCTATCTATTTATTTGCTCGTTTATGATAAAGGAAGCATTTTGACCTGACATTGAACGATTATTTATCAGGCGGAGATAAGACGAGATAACTCAAGAGAACAGAGCAGATGTTTAGATACCAAGTTAAGCAGCCCTGAAAATCTCTATAATACAGAATACGGCGCTTCTTACTCTTTAATGGTATGCAAAAGACGTAGTATACTATACAACTAATTGAAAAAACGTTGTCGGGTTAAAAAAAAATTAATATCATCGAATCTAAGACCGAAGGGGAGCATGGGAAGACAAACAATTATGCTAATTTCATGCGTATTGCAGTTTTCCCTTCCTGTGCACATTTAATGCATCATGGCTTTGGCATGTTGTTAATCTCGGTCGACTGACTTTGCTCTACTGTGCATTTTTACATGTCTATATGCAAATATAATACACATTTCGGAGTACCCAAAATCCTTTTCGGTCTTAGCTTCGATGATATGACCTTCTCGAACCCGACTACGTTTTTTTCAATTAGGTGTATACTTTAGGTGTAAAGCCTTTCAATCAAGGCTAAATTTTATGATATAGAAAATGGCCTATTCATCGTTCCCACTCCCCTTAGTGACCGTTGCTATTCCCATATGCTCAATAAATCAGCAAAAAAATCTTAGAATTAAAAAAAACTGGTATTTGAAAATTAATCATATATTAAAGATGCGATTCGTGTTTCTTCAAGCATATTTTTCTCGGAAAAGGTTTGCGAGCTTAAGGCGGGATTATATAATGTTTCTATTGCTGGTTTGAAATCATTCCCAAGAAAAAGAAATAACAAAAGACACGGCGGCCATGTTGGATGATATAACAAAAGAGACTAATCACGAATCGTTGTTAAATTCATCCAACATGGCGGGCGTGAAAACCATTAATTCTTCGTTTGCACGTTACGTCATCGCGGCCATGTTGGTACCATTTAACAAAAGATTTCTCATTAGTATCCATTGTTAACGGTACCACAATGGCCGCCATGTTTTTGTCTTTTAACTCTCTTGGGAATTCTTGCAACCCTTGAATTGTGCATTGTCCTGTAAAAATATATAGAATAAAAGTTGTCTTGTAATCCTTAAAGAACTCTTTGAAACAGATACTGAGTAATTGTTTGTGAGACAAGATTTTAAACTGCTGCAACTGTATTTCAATGGTTTGCTATAGAGAAATTTAGCAACGTGTTCACCGCTAACTGCTAACCACTAACTGAGGGATTCGCGATACGCCCGCAAATACCAAGAGAGACATTAATAAGATTCAATATGGCAACTCTTCCAGCAACAAATCAAAGAACATTTACATGCAATTTTAAAAGCAATAGGAGATGGATGAGCGGACCTTAAGCTTTTATAAGGGGGGTACACGTGCACCCCTGGAGTACGGTCCTGTAATGGGCTAGCAAGAACGTCGTGCTAAATGTCTATTGTCTGAATCAGAAACATAAACTGAGCCCTGCAACATAAACGTAACAAACAAACAGACGATTGATTGTGTTTTGGTTTGGTTTTTCTAGGCCTGTACGGGATCCTGTTTGGCTTATAATCAGCGAAAGTACTGTGAATGCATTGAGTACAAATATCCGAGGGATGTTGCTACACCTGTCTGTGATGTTCTGAACAGTTCAGTGGGTAGGTTGTCTCTCTTAGAACTTCTCTCCGACAGATCCGCCTGCAACTAAGATTAATGTGTATCGAGCTTACCTTTAAATGTATTTATCTTTGTGATTGACTACCTCGATTCATATTGACGTTAATCAAATTTGCG